GGTTGACGTGCTGCTGGTGGTGCTGTGAAAACTGAAGGATTCGGTGGTGTAGTTGGTGGCAAAGGCCATTGGGTAAAAGCTGTCCAGGTCATCAAGGATAGAGGTCCACATGGCGGGATCTTCGGACACCATTGAATCAACTGCTGAGATTGTGCCTTCAACTAAGCTGTCCCCGGTGATGGTACTGGTGACTGTGGTCGGACTTGCGGAGCATGCGGTGATGGTGGAGCATTGGCTGGTGACAGTGGTGGTAGAATAGGTGGAGGTCGGGTTGATGAGAGTGCTGGAGATATACTCGGTGCAGCTGTCCGCCTCCTCCGACTCACAGTCAGTGTCCTCGGAATGGCACGCATGTCCGCTGCAGATCCCATCTTTGCAACCAGGGCCAGTGCAGGTCACCACACGGCACGAGTGACCGGTGCATGTATGGGATGAAGACGAGCAATCTAAGCCCAGACAGCCCCAGGAGAGACAGTCCAGACCAAAGCATATACCGATGCTTATATCATCATCACTATCACTGGAGTCATCATCATCAGTGGAGTCATCGGAGTCATCACCGATACAGCCATGGTCCTTGCAGTTGCTCCCGGTGCAGTGGCCATCAGTACAGTCCGATCAGGTGCATGCCGTGGGGATGCAATTCTCTCCCACACACACCCGGTTGTGACAATCAACGCCGGTACAGCCTCGCTCGATACATAGTCCTTGCCCGGTGCATTTTCCATTAACACAGCCCGGACCCGTACATTTGGTGACCGATGGCGGATTGGTGTCCAACGGATCGATAAAGCTAGAGGAGCTCTCTCTGCCGCAATCGTTTAAACAGGGCCCGTCGCAAAAGTCATAGCATTTGTGCCCGCAGTTGGCAGTGCAAGTCGGACCAGGCGGACTGCCTTGCTTGAATATGATAGTCGGGTAGACCGATCCACCGGTTGACCAGGGCCAAGGGGGGATGTTGATCACACGCGTGCCTAGCGGTGAGTGAGTGACCCCTGATTCATTCAATGGGTTGGGATCATCGATGATCGTCACTGGGGGCAGGTTGATGCTCGGGATCAATGGTCCATGCGTCGACGTGACGTGTGGATCCGTGATGTTCCAATCATAATAGTAGATGGATCCAATGGTAACTGGGGACAGGGGAATATAAGTGGGCATGATATATCGGGTTGTTCCCGTGCTGACGCTGGTGGAGCCGCCTGACGTGACGGTCGTTGTGGTATTCCAAGCAAGCTCGACGCTTGTGGGATATGATCCAGGCGAGATAACTGACGGGGTCCCGAGGATACTCTTGGGGAAGATGATGTCGACGGGGCCTATACCTGTCACCACTGGCGAATCTCCCAGTACCCCGGTATCCACATACAGGATTCCAGTGCCATCGCTCCCTCCGTAGGATTGGCGCCGCCCATACCGGTGTCGCTGGGGGACATGCCATTCGGGTTCTCGAGTGATCCAGGCCCACCCAGGTCGAGAGCCCAGCTGAACAGGCCTCCCAGACACTTGCCGTTACCAAAGTCTGCCTTTTGCTTGAGATGGAAACCCTGAAGTCCGTCAGAAAATGGGCCGGAGTGCGACACAATGCGGTGGCCTGGCTGGCGTTCTGCATCGGTATTTTCTGCTGCACATTCTCCCTCCTTGTCCCCTATGACTATCTGCCGTCCATGGCGAATCAAGCTGGTATGAATCTCGACCTAGCACAGTATACGCTGTCCATTACGAACGCAGAGTCGATGATCGGTCGCATCGTGCCGGGATTCTTGTCCGACTATATGGGTCAATTCAATATCATGGTTCTAGTCAGTGCATTTTCTGCTGTGGCCCAGTTAGCCATCTGGCTGCCTGTTTACTATGCCCCAACAAACGCTGGATTCATATTCTTCGCTGCTTTCTATGGCTTTGTCTCGGGCGGATACACCAGCCTGCTCTCACCTTGTGTTGTCGCTCTGGTTGATGGTCGGGTGGCCGATTTGGGTTTGAAGTTCGGTGTTGCTTGCCTCTACCTAGCTTTTGGGTATGTAGTAGACATTCCACCCGGATGACAGTGTGGCTGACGATCCATAGCGCTCTGGTGGGGATTCCTGCGAGCGGTGCCCTGGTTGATGACTCGGAAAATTGGGAATCCCTTATTGCTCTGTCTGGTTCGATCATGGCGGTGGGGGCTCTATGTTTTGTTGTAGCGCGTGTGAAAAAAGGGGGTTGGGACGTGATGAAAAAGGTGTAGTTGGAGTTCGATCTCAATATCCGCCACCATACTCACAGATTACGTCAGTCATTCATTTCTAAGCATATCCAAGCGAAAATCAATCATTCATTAGATAGTGTTGGGACATATATCTCAGTCTGCTCTCCACATAGACGCGATAAATCATTTTAGTCTACCAGCGAGAGATTTGACTAATAGCATTTGAGAAGTGACCCATTGACCCGATTCAGGAGTATATCGAAGGAGCCAAGTCTATAATCGAGTCAGAGTAAATCACGACCTTCCTCAGACTGGGCCTTCCCACGAGCTAAAAAGTCAGCGAACGTCCAAAGTTTAGGACCAGTGAGTTACCGGGTGTAGGAGTGTACGGGCAAGCATCGCTCGGTTGCTCTGGATCCGTAATCACATAATTCTCAATTTTCGCGGTTCTATCTGCAACGGCATCGATCTGATTCTTCGCACATGTGCCACTCAGGCTCCAAAGGTAGCATGTCGGTTCCGGGGCATCTGGCACCTTGTCTGTATGTGTAGACTCTGCCGTGCCGTTAGTCGAGTAGCTGGTCGTGACATCAAATTGCCCGGTTTCTATATCCTTGCCATCCATGACACGTCGGAAAATCTCCAGTGCGGCCTCTGGTTGATATGAAGGAACCATGTGACCAGACTGGTAGATACGGCTGAATGAAAAGCTACCATATTGACGAACCTGTCCCCAGACAGCCGAGCTGGAGGTGATGTTCGCGTATCCTGCACTTTGAAATGCCAAGGACGACTTGTACTGGACGTCAAGACTGGCTTGTTCGCCTCCAACCCAGTTGCAGGCAAAGTCCCGATCTCCGTACAGCAATGCCACCTGGGCTCCGGATTCCAGAAGATATGCGATATCTGCAAGGTAGCCCAGTCTGTCTCGTCTTGGGTAGTCGCCTGTTTCGTTGAATGCCTTCCCGACAGTGTTCGAGAGTAGGGTGAAGTTAACTGGGACGCCTAGAGCCTGCTGGATCTTATCATCGGCCAGGTAGCCAATGAAATAGTTGGGGGGGAATGGGTCTAGGTTGCAGTGAGAGATGTCATAGAAACCTCGTTTGCTGGTGAAAATATAGGCGGCTTCCACTTCGGCTTGGCAGTAGGTGCTTGTATCAAAGCATGCTTCATTGACTGTCGTTGCGTTGCCATACATATCTGGATCTTTCTCTTTGGCAAGTTGAAGACAATTTTGGATCTGCTCTTCGCAACCGCCTGGCCTGCTGTAAGCTTCGATTGCAGCATCATACTGGGATTCGTTGATGGCAGTAATGCCGAAAGTATTTTTGTTGTAAGCATACTCCGGATCGGATGTTTCTTGTGTAAGGAGATCTATACATCCGTTGATGACCCCTAAGGTGTCGAGGTTAATAGGTTTGAAGGTGTCACGTCTGCTATTGAGATTCTCGTTCTGCTGATGGAAATACGCAGCGAACCCAGGACCATAGCGACCACCGTACGACTCAGTCCAAAGGCTGACTCGGTCATTCTGGGATTTGGACTTGTAGACATCGAACTCCTGAAGCCAGACTTGGGCAAAGTTCCAAAGATGCCGTGCGGCATTGGCGGTGGTGTTGGCAGTATATGTTAATGTTTGGCTGCTAAACGTGCCTACCTTGTTCAACGGACCTTGTGTGGAACAATCCGGAATGATGTTTCCACTAACCAGGTCCAGAGTTCCATTGGTCAAGATATCGTAACTGAAGCCAGTCTGGACGGGTTGGTCGATATATAGCATGTTGGCGTACTTGGTCCAGGCATATTCATTTGGGCGTGTGGTTTGGGAGTCCTCAGCAACGTTGCAAGGGCCGTTTTCCGTGAAAGCACCGAACATAGAGGACCCTCCTGGTCCGCCTTGCAGCCATATGGACAACGGCGAAGTTTTGGGGTCTGAATAGGACTCGAAATACCAGAAGAATAAGTGAACAGGAAAGTCTTGGATTGCATCCTTCATCGCATTTTGCGGGAAGTTGACATATCCCGCATACGAGGCCGAGGCCGAGTCGCATATGCTGGCCTAGTAGGCTATCTTTGAGCAGATAGACAATAATGAGCCTAAGGTCAATTCTTACCGGAACTTCTTTGTAAGTTATAGTGACCCCTGGAAGGATTTCAGAGTTGATTGTGGTCAATCCCTCTGGGGTTGGGGGGTACTGGGCGAGCACCAGCCCGGAAAGAAGAGCCGCACTGATGACCTTGAGTGCAGTCATTGTCAGAAGCAATGCTACAAGTGGTCAAATATAATCGAGATGGGCTCAAGCGGAAATCTCAGTTAATTGACACCGAAGAAAGAGGTTCAACTGGGGCATGGGGGTAAGTGTCTTCGTTGCGTCACCATCATGCGTCAGTCAGCATCAACCGGAATTTCTGCGAAATTTCCGACCAATAAGCAATGACAACCGGCGTAATCAGAGTGTATAATTTGTATGTCTCCGTAGATGTTTGATCATTGTCATTGTGATTATGTGACAACAGTATTCGTAAAGTGATCATAGTCAGCATTGACTCAGCTGTGCCACTCCAGAGATAATCAATATCGTGCAACTGGCAGTGACTGGAGGGTGTCTGATGTACTCGAGCTCGAGGGTGAATGGGCAACTTATTATATACTGCGTCCCCATGATATGTGTAATTATCTAGGAATAACATGTAACTGTCGTTGAAAGCAGCCTGACATGTCATTATTTTATCCTGAGAGAGTCACAAGTTCCTTGCAACGGACCAGAGTCACCCTCTGATTGAGGCGATACCCATCAGGGCAAAAAAAAAAAAAAAAAAAAAAAAAAAAAACAAAAGCAATGGAAGGAGAGACTACCTAGTGAGGATCCGCGGGGGTTGCTGAGGGGAAATGGTATCATCTTCGCCAATCCAGTCTGCTATAAAATCCCTGTCCAGTCATCAAAAAAGTGATCAAATCTGTAATCCATCTCCTTTATTTCTTGAACCATCAATGCGTCTATCAGAACTTTAGACATATTTGACCTACCTCCATTATGGCTGACAAATACGAGAATATTGTCGGGGACCTTTTCGAGATGATTTACGATCCCAGGAACAGAGACTGGGAAAGAATCTTCGCTCAAGGGATTGGGCAAGCAGTTGACACAGCCAGAAATGACCTTCTCGAAGCCCAGATCTACCGAGGAGCCTCAGATGGCGAGACCGTGGCATCCTTTCTCGATTTCTGCAACCGATATGTGAAATAGGTTCCGTCCACCACTTCTACCCGTGACATGCCACTTTGGATGCTTTCGGTATTCTACTTCATCTTTGATCAGAAGCCCATAATTGACTTACAGACATTAATTGATCCATCTCACATCAGCCAGTCAACCAACCTATCCAGATGGCTTCACGATTTCGTAGATAGCCTTGGGCAGTGGATGAATACGGAAGACTCTGCAGAACTGGTCTCGACATTCACCGACAACCCTGAATACCAAGTCCACCAATACATCCAGCCTGAAGGAGGCTAGAAAACCTTCAACGAGTTCTTTTCTCGGAAAGTGAAGCCGGAATACTAACAGATCAGTCATGAAAACACCGTTGCTAGTCCGTGTGACGCCAAGTTTGATCTCTACCAGAAGATTAATAAAGGAAATATGAATTTTGGCTCCGAGACCGTCAATCTGAAGGGATTCAATTGGCCAATCAACAAGCTCTGACAGGATGTTCCTGATGATCTAGTCGCAAAGTTCAACGATGGCATCTTTATGCACTTATTTCTCTTGCTGAATAATTATCATCGTGTTCACGCTTCTGTCAGCGGAAAGGTGGTCATCCGCTACATAATTCCAGGGGATTTCTACCTGCAGGTGACCGCGGATGAAAAGCAACAGGTGCTGCTACCTCCGCCACGACGAATAATGACAAAGCCAAATCAGGCTGCTTCGGGCGACCGCGATGTTGAAGCACAGGATTGCCCAGGATATCAGTGGAATCAAGTCTGTGGGATGTGGGTCTTTGATACGACGGGTTCCAAGGATATTGACATAGGACATGTGGTACTATTCACTGTTGATATGGCGCAAATTTCCTCCGTCTACTGGAATTACGAAGAAGCCAAAGGTCAGGAGGGTACTGATGTTGAGAAAGGAGATGAGCTGGGCCTTCTCCAATACGGCGGATCGGATTATATCCTATTGTTTGAAAAGAACAAGGTTTACTTTGATGAGGAAGAAGGTAGTGAATGCCTAAACCAGGGGTTTTGTACCTACAGGGGGAAGCTCTTGTCCGCAAGATTTAATTGTGGAGGATTGTTCTCCCCAGTGTTTTCCAAGTGACTTGGTGTTTCACCTGTCCGTGTGTCTATAAACACACTGATGCCCTATAATTCAGGTGGCTTGATGGCAAGCAGCTGAGCCTGTAGACCACCCGCATTCAATGATAGGGGTTCTGGTCGCCAAGGCCCCCGTTGGAAGAGAGAGCGAAGTTGACCTTCGACATTGTAAATTGCGGTCGCGTATCCATAAGGTATGTTCCCGGGATCCTTCTCATAAAAGAAGCCCAGCATTTTGGTTACATGGAACGGTATCCTTGATACAATGAGGTAACTGAAGCAAATCCCATCTCAAAAAGCGAAACTTTGGCTATGGAGTAACAATCCTGAAGGTGTGTATATTCAACCCAGTTAAACTAGCTTCAGCGGCTCCATGAATGCTTCGTCTCCACGGTAGGTAGGATTAGGTAAGGAGCTAAACAACCCCATCATATCTCCTTCGCAGAGTGTCTAAATACTTCTCCTGATTAATGGGATCTTTGATCTCCCCACAGATAATCTTGTAAGGAATCTCCACATTGACCACGCCGTCCGCTCCCTTGTACTCCGGACGCGAATATAGCCCAAGTATCACAAAGTCTCCGCCATCCACACTGTTGAACAGGTGATGAGCCCCCGAGATAGGCAAGCGCCATTTCCACCAGATCTTTCCCTCCGACACATCCGCATCACCTGGGATATGGAATGGTACCTCTGCATCTTCCAGACTCTGAGCCCAGAGGGACAGCGCTTCATTGTAGTGGAGGACCACCGTTGCATCGCGTGGCGATCTTTCGTCCAATACGGCTATCCAGTCTGGTTCAAGCCTGCCAGCGTTTTTGTTTTCCCCAAGCTCTTTGATCTTTGTCTGAGTGAACAGGCGGAGTTCGGCGTCTGTAGCGTCTTTGAAGCCGGTGGAGAAGTCGCTGACAGGGAGTGGCGTGCCCCATCCATCGTACTCAGCTTGGTCTGGGGTGCGGACAAGGCAGAATAGGTCTGGGCAATCGAGAGCTTCGTAGAAGTGGGCCATGAAATTGCTGATCATCTAGGGGCGAGGAAAGCCCGATTAGTGGGATTGTACGTGCCATAAGAGACTAGGGAAAAAGTTTTCATACGCTGGCTGGCACATCTGTGGTGCAGAACAGAAAAAAGGTAGGCATAGTTGCGTATGATATGGGTGATGAGGATGTGCAGTGGAGGAGAAATGAGGCGATGAAGTGAAAGCGGCTGACAGGGTGACAGGTGACAGATGAGGTGAGAGGTGAGAGGACCAGTGACCGGCAAGGATTAGCCGCTGTTGTGGGACGGAGTGACGGGTCCGCCCCCACCGTGATCATGACTGCATTTATATATATCTAATAAGCGACTTTGGTTTGAATCACAATGGCTTTGGGGGCGCTGCAATTGACTCTGGGAACTTGGTAGAGCTGGCTCCAACCCCCATCACCAATCGCCCGATAAGGTGCTGGTCTGAATCATTATTTGTGTCAGAAAAACACCTGTCCTGCCCATGTACAGGCTGATAGTCTCATCTCAGCAGCATCTATCCTTGAGTTTGAGAAACATGAATGGTTTCACACCTGCTGAGTCGATGGAATTCATGTCAAGGTCAAAGTACCATGGCCGAAATGGCCCCTGAAAAAAATGGCTATAAATACAGGAAATAAGAAGCGACGAAGAGGGTGCCGGAAGAGAAACCAGCATCAGAATCTTTCTCTCAAGGAATACCTAGCTATCTTAGTCCGAAATGAGAACCGTTCTTGTGTTTCTCACAGCTGTGCTCTTCACTTCAGGATTTCAGCAAGTCCGTGCTTTACCCACTCCTGATGGTACTTCCCTCGAGCCGCGCTCCAATCCAGGGAGCAGCCAAAGCAACCCTATCAAGGCTCAGATTGAGATCCGTGGGGAAGATGCCTTGACTTATGATGTGGACTGCTGGGCAATGCTATGCAAAGGCAAGCCTACGGTGATGTGAGTCTGTCTGCAACAATTCTACTTGCTGACCATATATCTGCCTTTCTCTGGACTGTAGGCAGACTAGAGCACCTGACTACCTTACCCCTTTCTTCTGGCGCGGCGTCGGTTTCCCATACAAGATCTACCACCCATGTCATATTTTGTTTCATTCAACCGTCTACGCCTGCCTGAACACATGCCTACTTCGCATGCTGGATGTATGATATACCCAACCAAGCTAACTTACATATAGGAAGAAGGTCGACAAAAACACGGCCAAGAAGAACCGTCAGGTGAAGAACGGCAGCGCGGCTGACAAACAACCCTTCGAACACCGGGCCAAGTATGGGATAAAAGCCAGTCCGCCGACTAGTATCTGGGCGAACCATGAAGGATGGACTTCAGCAGAAGAATTTCCTTTCGCCTCCACCGCCAGCGGGGGAATAGGGTATATTCTCTCCTGCCTGACTCTCGTTCAGATAAATCGACCAACGAAATGATGGTGTTAATAATTTGTAGTGCGATCCTCGTGGGAGTTACACGCAAATCGCAGGAGGAACAGAAGCTTTCGTTGAGAAACTTCTACCAGAAGAACAAGATTGAGCCATACGATCCGACCAAAAGCCCTGGGGACACATCTTGGTTTGAGATCACTGGCTTCAAGGTCAGGCCTGGAAAAACAGCAACAGTTGGGTGAGTGATCGATCGACTACCTACTTCTCCTGGCTTGTTTTTCAGGACAAAAGGGATCGCTCTGTCTAACCTTGCTGTCGGTAGGCCCTATTGCAAGGCATTTAATGCCAAGGATAAAGGTAATCTGTGCAGCGCGAGTACCAAAGTCGTTGGAGACTGGGGGTTTGACGTGGCTGAATATGCCTACGTGTACAATCACCAGACAAAGAAGTTTGATTATGTTGGGAAATGATCAATACTTCGGTTTTTTGGTCGTCTATGGCTAACCCGGTCAATGGTCAGTCCTGCGATGTCAACAGCCAGACTCGGATGTCTATTCTCCATTGGAGTCTGATGCTTTCCTACGTTTATTTTCTCTCGGGTCATTGTATTTCCCCTTCAAGTTTGCAATGGTTTTAGAACTATATATGCGGTTCTCTTTGTGTATAAGTTGTTGGCTATATCTTGAACTTTGGCCTTCTTATCTATCATTGAGTCGCACTAGTTGAAGGGAGGAATGGCTAGGCCGCACTCTGAAGAGCGGGAGCCACGTGCACACGTGATCGTCAGCGTGCCTGCTAGTAGCACCGAATTGAGCATGGCTCCCTATGGCCCAAGTGTCGCATTTTTCAAATCCCCCTTTCCTAGCCATCTCCCGGAGATCAGCTTTCACATTCTAAATAACCTATCTCATTTCCAACGACCAAAGCCATCCTCAAGCCCGAAACAACCCACATTCCAAGTCCGATCCCATACCCTCGAGCACCCCCAACTATCTCTCCCACCATGAATGAGATTCGTAAAGCCAACCACGCCATCCTCGCCGCAGTACTGGCCCAAGAACCCCCTCCCCGCCATTTCTGGGCACTCCGCCGCCTACGAGTCGAATTCGGCAAAGCCATAGAAGATGGCCCAGACTGCCCGGAATACAATTTCATGTCCTTCGCACCCGTGTCCCCGGACAACCCCTACGATATCATCGGAACCATAGCTGGACCGAAGGACACACCATATGAAGAAGGCACCTTTCAAATTCGGATTGGCATCACAGAACACTATCCCAAGTTGCCACCCGAGTGCACGTTCATGACGCGGATTTGGCATCCTAATATTAACTCTCAAGGGAAGATCTGTTTGAATATTTTGCAGGACGAATGGAGTATGGCCCTTTCTGTGAGGACGATCTTGCTGTCGATTTCTTCGTTGCTGTCGGATCCGGGATTGGGAGTGGTAGAGGTAGGGTTCAAGTGTGTGTTGATGCCCGAGGCTGGGGAGATGTGGATGGTGGATCGGGGGACGTTTGAGGAGATGGCCAGAGATTGGACGGGCAAGTATGCGGTGCCGGTGGAGGACTAAATATATACTTGGATATTTGATCTTACTCTGGGCTCTGATGTTGGGAATGGCTACGGACTGATCTGTAGCCACTCTCTGAAGAAGTAGATAGTTGAACCGTACGACACTTTGTCGTAACCCTTTATGAACGCATGCCTATAAACTCCCGGAGATGTTGTTATAGCCTCCTAAACTCACTGGCTACACTGAAACCTAGTCCTTAAAGTCCATGGCCCCAAACCATAATTTCGTTCGTTAGTTTTTATTCCGCCCCATAGTACTATATCAAGCAGTTTAAGGCTCCCCAGGCAATAATGCTGTCCATTATGGATCCACTTGTCCGGCATGTGGGTTTATGCAGGGGCGCTGTCAGGTTCCTGCCGATCGATCGGCAAGAAAAATAGACGTAGAATTTCTCTGCACAGGCTGCTTGCTGTCTCGAACTAAGCATTCTGATTTTCTGTATAGCTTTGACCGATTCCATAGATATAATCGACTGCTTCCAAGATGGGAGTAACAACCGCATTCTGCTTCCGCTCAGGTCATCTGAGAATCGCGTTTATTGCGTGCTGCTTGCTCCTGCAGTAGCTGGATGATATCTCCAAGATACTCAAGCGGGCGCAAGTTATGGCTACGGCATTGCCGAGAGACAGGCATCCATTCAATAAGACGTGATACACGATGTACGGCGGACGGGACAGGCAGAATGACAGGACTTGTGGACAGCCCAGGCAGCCGAATTCTTCCGCATTGCTATTGCTGCCCCTCCCCGCTTTCTCATTCTCGCAGTCTACTGACTTGATACCACGATTATTGCACGTCGTATATGCGGCACAGCATCATCCATCACCCCATATGGCCTCAAGCCTCTTTCCAAAGTCCTCGGTTCCATACCACTCTGCAGGCGAGGCTTCCCATTCTCTTGTCATGATATACCACTAGGACGGTCTTCCCCCGTTTTACAAGTTCGTCCAAGGAGCGCCATTCAAACAATCTCTGCTTCTCAATCATGACGGAACTATAGCGTATACGTGGGATTAGTTCCCTTCCGATGGAACTATATGATAGGGTACGTCTCATCAGATTATCAAAACTATCCCCTAACAATGCACCAAGATTACAAACTTTCTGGTCGGTGAATATATCGGCCACTCGGTTCAAAAGAAACAATTGAGATGTCTTCGCCTCGTTAGTCCACCGTTCAATCGGAGCGCTACTCGCATTCTCTTATGTCACATCTCTATAACAATGAGGCACCTGCGTGATTATATGCATCCTATGAGACGCCGGCGTGCAAAAGGCCCAAGATTTATTTTTGACAGTGATTTTTGTGACTTCGTCAGGGTTCTAGCAATAAGATCCCATCCTGTGCGGGGTCGAATATTCGTTGAAAGATGGTTGGACGATGAGGTTGAGGGAAAGGCTTACGAAAACTTCCTATATTTCCTCAGCAGGATTCCCTCGGTAGAGCGTATCCACATCAACTCCGACTGTTATAACTATGAGTACCTGCTGGTGAACTCCATGTTCAAATCTTTTCGACATGCGCAACTCCCCCAACTGAAAACGCTCAAAATCCACGGACTAGATCCTAGAGGTAATCAGTCAGCGGGCCTATCACCGGCACTCGATGATGTTTTGCAAGAATTACTACCTCAACTTCGAATATTAAACCTCCGTTACGACGGCCACCCATCCCTAGATAAGGCGAAATTCCATGTTTTTCATTTCCTTCATCTTGGCCGAGGGCTACGCTCCGTCAACCTGGACGGACTTGGAAGGCCGCCTAAATACCCATGCCCAATGCATGAACCCGTGCATCCGTTTCTTCATCCATGCGCAAGTATAGAGAGGATAAGCCTTTCTGGGATAATGATACCATACGAAATGCTGGCAACGATATGCAACTACAGGAAAAGTCTGGTTTATCTACACCTGACATGTGTTTATCTCTTAACAGGTACCTGGGCAGACTTCTGCCAGGAGCTTGGCGAATGCCCCAACCTGAAAACTGCTATTATCTCGTGGAGGTGTGGTTATTATTACAGAGTCCCGGGGCAGAATACTTATTATTGCAGTCTGGAGCTCAGTGCTTCAGACACTGCCGCGATGACTCTCCTCCGAAGAAAAGCCAAAAGTGTCCGGCGTGCACGCGGAGAAAAGACTCCGGAACTAGTTCCTAGACATGATTGGGACGATGAGAACGTAAACTGACTTGGAGTAAGGATTTGGAAGGTCTTGTTGTTTCAATCAGAATAGTTGCTTCAGTTTCCATTGATTTTATCCAAAATGAAGACATTTTACACCTTTGGACGAGGACTGGGTTGGTCTTCTGAACATTAATCACCTTTTCAACATATCCTCAAGTCATAGCATTCCTAATAAATCCCGCTCTTTGTACACTCGGCGGTAACCCACCGAGAGACATAACCACCCGACCCAATATCATTTTAAACAAAACCCCCACAATCCAAGAAGTTCACTCCAGGTATCTCCCATCCCAACCCCCACCCAACCCCCACCCACAGAATAATTTTCGGTACTTCGGAATCCTTTTAGCCGGCTATTCCACCATCGCTTTTCACTACCACCCACGACCAACATCAGGGTGTGCCTTTAATCAAGACACCCAGAACCGGAGCAATATCTCTCACACCTGTATCGCCTTACCAATTGCCAAACCAGGTGTCAGACACCAAGATCATTAATGATCACCTGCACCTCCTGACCCTGACTAAGAGAAACACTGAGTCGGTTGTTGTCGCCGATGAAACTAACATTTTGTCTAGTCTGTTGACGAACCCATGTACCACTGGACAATGAAGCAAACCGCATGATTAAGGCTATGTTGATTGGGTACCCGTCAAACCAGTTGAACAGATTTACGCCCTGATCTTTGCATGGCGTTATGATCATAATATCATCCGGGTGCTTTGTCTCGAAACTTGTGCTAAATTGGGACAAGTTTGGTAGTACATGTAGCGATCAGGTTCCTAGATGATGGTATTTGGCCATGACTGGCTGTTTTCCAACTAGCTAGGCGTATGTTGGGTTTATGACTTCCGGTGGAATTATCTGCAGTGTTCCAGCATATCTTGGACACTCACTGAGGTTTCTCCGTGTGTGGATGGTCGGATGTATTTGTAGTGGTTGTAAAATCTCCCGTTTGAATACAGTAGAGATGCATAGCAGGCGGAACATTTATGCTACCGCGGTAGATCATATTGTTGAACAGCAGGCAGGGTTTTGCAGTATCGGTGATACTTATTTAAGCTGCTTGTATATTGATCTTGTGATATACCTTGTCGAGCTGTTTGCTAATATTAGCAGTTTCACCTCAATTCGAAGAAAAACATCGATTTCAAGCCCCGATGATTTGGGTTTCATTGCGGCAATTGGTATCCAGCATTGTGCATGGATAGCCTAAACAGACACGACACTTCTGTTAAATGATTCCAGCAATTGGCTTCGATACTTGTGGTTGGTATCGAGCATTGTGCATCGTGCATAGATACATCCATCGACAAAAAGACTCCAGTGTCTGTCTGTCTGCGATTGCGAACCATGCCGCCGATATGACCCATTATAACCCGCATCTATCAAGGAACGGTCAGGAAAGGAGGCAATTTTGTTTACGCCATGTTCGGAGGTCACAGTCGGCCTCGCAGTTTTCATATTGCTGTCGGATAGTTTCTGGTTCGTCTCATTGGCCGGCAGGTTGAGCTGGACTGGTCAATATACTGTGCTTTCAAGATTGCACTCCGAATTATATGTGCGCGCGATGCCTTCCTTAACCTCCACGTTTGGAGTTCGCAGGATTAATGTTTTGGTGTTGTGTATTTCCTCTTTCCGTTCTGAATTCCTGTCGCAGATCCGATATAGACCCAGTGGTGGTTGGGGAAGTCCCTCAGTAAATCAACTTTGCATAAACACCCGGATCGGTTTTATCATTCCAGGCTAAGGAACGTAGATCCTGGAATGTTGGGAGATCTTCTTTGTCCAGAAGACGTTGTAGTGGTTTTGGTATGTACATGGCTATTAGGCGCACCACATAGTCTGCCTCCATGTCCTCCAGCGTTTTTCTATATTTATTGGTCATGGGCAGGCTTCGGATCAAAGCTCTGAATATGTCGTGTTCTATGAAGGCAGGCTTAATGATGACAGCCGGTGTTAGGGCGATGTTGTCACTCAGCAACTCCATTATGATGATAGGTATCCCTGAGCATTTGTCGCCACGTTATACATCCTGGTCAATATTATAGTTTCGAAACGATTCGTGTATTGCGTTGCGGTTACCGGTGTTGGAGAACAGAGCACGTGCGTGGTCTGGATCATAACTGTCCCCTTTCATGCATTGACCACATCCTTCCTCATCATACTGCGCAGCATTCATCGGTGCCAGTATGCTCCGTTGCATACTGAGCGTCACAACTTGCTTCAAGTAATCCTAGAAGATCATTAGACCGATTGTTGCTCCTAAGGTTTATCAAATGCTGCCACAGTGGGCGAGTTAACTACATCAATGCTGCAACTATTGGTCCCGCGGACCGGCCATCAAGGGCCTCAACAAAGTTATTGGCTCCTTTGGATCCTGCAGCCAAGTGGAGATTGAGTCCAAGGGCAGCGATCAGCGATTGCAAGGATGATCAGCATAGCTGCTCAAATTTGCCTGGTCTGGGCGGATGGATCGAGTTGACGCCACGGGGAGTTGCAACATCGCATAATCGAACGCCTCTATAACGATCATCGTCATAGGACTGTTGACCGAGCTTGGTCTTCATAATGACCTGACAAGTCCATGTTATTCTTTGACCATGTGCCAAATCCTCAAGTAGATACTGTTCTGTTCCAGTAAGAACCGAAATGGGGGCGCACCCCGATGAACACGAGCTCATCTCAGCCATGGCAGGTCCGATTTCTGAGCTGCATGTGACCCTGTTATATAACGAAGCATGCAGCAGCAGGAGTCGAACACACGAGTGCGTCGACTAGTTCATGGTTGTGGAGTTGAATCAATCTCCGCCCTGAGAAAGCAAAGGACCAGTCCAGCAAAGGGTTTATCAATGCCATATGAACCATCTCTGAATATCGGGAGTTTGCCTTCTTGCATGCTATATAGGATAGCCCGACAGCGCCAGTCCAGAGCGAAGTGATTGTGGTTTCCAGCCTTCGGCTCTGTACCATGGGCAAGGAGAGTTTGCTTGAGCGAGAATTCTTAGCCTTCTTCCCTTGTGAGTCGTCTCAGATATTCATCAATCAGGTGCAGTTTTTATATGTCCTTCGATTGGCATTGTGCTCGGCTCTGCAAGCTCGACGCTGTGGAATATCGTGCCATTTATCCTGTTATTAGGGACGGATTTTCATCGAGCTTTTACCGTGCAAAGCATCCATTTGAGCGTCTATTGGCATTGTGTGGCTCTATGGATGCGATGATGTCGAAGGCCACACCATTTACCCTTCCATAGGGGTAAAGAACGTGATTTGACGAAGCCCACCAGAACTATGATGCGAGTGACGCTTAGTGGGGAGAGAACTGACCAAGCTGGATGAAGATCCTGTTTGGATGATCTGGAAACCAGTATCTGTTTGGTTTGCTCCCGGTTCGCTGCGAAAGCTTAGAGCAGCTAGTTGATCTCGTGTGAAACAGCATCCCAACCGTGTACAAAAGCCCGAATTGTGGTCGAGCTATATAATTCTTGTTCAGGTAGTTAGGATACCAGTGTGCATTGGGTGATTCTTCCCGGTTTGCCTTGAAGGCTTATAACAGCTGGTCAAGCTCATCCTGAACCGCATAATCCCCGCGCGTAAACACCCAGATCGTGGACGAATTGTTGGGGTATTCTTTGACATTGTCAGCATGTGCCTGCTGATTATCGGAGCCCTTATTGAACATGTTAGATGCATGCACTTTCGACTTCGATGCATCAGACACCGCTCTCTGAGATGGACATTGTCCAGCCTGTTGAGCTCCTCGGGCATGTTCGGGCTATTTGAGTCATTGTCAGCCTCGTGGATGTCATTAAGACACGAGCTGCTATATTTGACGCGACGCCTTCGACGGTCAAACTGACGGACAGCCAAATCCACCACATTCAGTCCAGACTGGCTCATTCACACCCTTGGCACTATTTCGTATGCATCAAACACATGCCATACTCTACCCGTGACCTGTCTCTGTGCATCAATCTATAGCACCAGCTGCCCCCAACCATGGGAATGTCGAACTGCCTGGTGTTGCTCATCGCCTTTGTTCTTCTGCTTCAAAGGCACACAGCAGCACAGTGGCATGGTCGTCGAAGAAGAACGACCGGCTGATGTAGTTTCCATCAGCCGTAGTCCCACCCATAAACCACACTCCTTGCATATGAGCATAACGCCTGCTCAAGGTACCATGCCAATCGCCCTTGGCAATATCACTGTTCACAAGATTTTGAAGAATCAATGCCCAATCTAAAGCCTCGGGGACGTCCAGTATGTGTCCTCATCTTTGGCAAGGATCGATAAGTTTCCATAGTGTTCAATCGTATGGAACTTTGTGTGACACGTTGCGTTCTTTGGTTCGGTCTTCAAGCACAGGTGTGCTTTTCACCAATCTTGTGCAGTGTACCTGCCATCGGCAATCAAGCCCGAATAATATCTTTGAACGTGAATATCATTGGCTCTGTGTTTTGACACAGCCCAGAACCATGAATGGTTGCTGAGAATCAATTATCATCTGGGGTATTTTCCCAGAATGCACATATGTATCGAAGGCATCAAAAGCCAGGGGTTGTTTGAATCTGTTCTTGGTGTGTAGCGGCCTAACCTATCAGGGCTGTTGAATCCAGTGGCTGTTGGGGGGAATCTGCCCATGTCGAACAGCTGAACTGTGGTTGTACTATTGTGATTGTTAGTGCTGGGTAGATGATAAAGTATGGGAGACTTGGACTTACTGAGAGTCGCTGCTGTGGAGGTTCCGAGGTGTCTGTTGTGGACTCTAGGAGGTAGCTCCTTCGTTGATCGTTGTCTACTTTGATATTGAAATGGGAAACTGACCAAGGTCGATTATAGATGGAGTGACCTCGATGATAACCTGCAAGTGCTCGCATTAGGTTAGTTGGTGCCATACGTCTCGCCGAGATGGGGATACTCACAAGCCTTTGCTTGACCCTCTCCCAATTGCGGCCATCGACAACGTCAAATGATAGATTCTATACTAGACAGTCAGTAAGATCCGAACCTTTCGGACTTTCTAAGACTGATCACTCTCTCAATCCTCACTTACCTCCATCAGTGAATTGAAGCTAGGATATTCCTAAGCTCAGCCAAGCTGCACATACAGCAAGCCATCCAACAGACATACTAGGATCCAACCCAACAAACCCAATCACTCAACCTCTAAGAAACAAAAAATGAAAGATATCTAATCAGAGGGAGAAATATTCCCGATATGAGGGGCCAGGAAGGCCTATTTATTCCAGAGATCAGCAAAAAGGGTTAGTGTACCCAGACAATCCAATGCATTCCATGCGCTTGACTTGGGAATGGGAGGGCTTTCACCGGGATTAGACCAGGGGGGCAGTGCATGGTTGTCCGCAGTTAGTTACATGGTGATGGGTTCTAGTCCTATGTGGTGAAGAATGATTGGATTAAGTGATGGACCATGGAAATTGATGGTCATTTACTGAGTCGGGTGGTATTAACTTTTGTATATTTGTCTACTCCTGCTAGGTTAATCCTTCGGTGTGAAGTGTCTTAGTGAAAGATACTTACAACTGCGACATTCCACTGGCGATAGACACATCCGTCCCGGGTACCTGGTGTGGACAATCATCCGTAGCAGGGAAGACTTGTGTCGGACTATGTGATTCTCAGCGAGTGGACTACTATTTTTACATAAATTCAAATAATGGTATATCTCTAAGCCAAGGGGAGAAAAAAGCGGGTTGCTTAGCTTCTGTAGCTCTCAAACACGTCCGATGCAGCTAGTAATGAGGAACTGGGAACCTTCACGCGTGGCAAACAATGTACTCGACAGCAGGTTACGAGATAGATTTTTCCATGGTGTGGGCAGTCGCTTTTGCGATCGCATAAGCATATGTCGGGGGGGCGGTCGAGTTCCTGGGAATTTGATCCGGGTTCGAGGGGGTTATTGGCGGATACTATAAATTGAGGAATATTGATGGCTTGGGAGTATCCAGAATTTCTCATGACGGTACAGTCGTTCGGCGGAAGGATGGGGCTGGAGGGAACAGAGACGGGTTTTCTGTCGGCGATAAGAAAAGACATCAAATAGGGTGATAACATGAAAATGAGGTAGTAAAATGACAAAAACACAACAAGAGAGGCGGAACTTAGGAGGAAAAAGTGTCAAAGAGAAATCTGAGTATAAAAATACTCTCATTTTTAAAAAAGAAATAGATAGCATGTCCTGGTTTCGATCCAGGGACCTCCGGGTTATGAGCCCGGCGCTCTTCCCCTGAGCTAACATGCTGGGTGTTGATATTTTTCTTTCTCGTATTAAATTGATAAGCCGCTGTGCCAAGCCAGCCAGCCACCAATCTCCTCGCCGAACACTCAATACTATGCCCCCATTCCTTCGCCACTAGGAATAACAGTCGAATCACGTCTTTATTAACATCGTATCCTTATCTCCATTTAATAAATCTCAGGGTGAAGCCTAGCAACCCAACCCCGATGCATATTCCTGCTGCCTGATCCCCTCATCAGACGATATATATCTTAACCCGCAACCAACCCATCAACCTCCAGAAGCCAGCCCACAAAATGTTCACCAAACTAGTCATCGCCGGCGCCATAGTTATCCTCACCAACCGTCCAATACTCTATATCATTGACTACCTCACACCCCGGCCCCCACCAGCAACACCACCCCTCAAATCCCGCATATTCCACGACGCCCCTCTCACCGACCCCGATCCTCTCCCAACCGACCTCGAAAGACTACCCCGCGAACGCTACCGTCGAAGCTTCTTTACCAGAAACCAAACCACCACTGTCGTCGGCTACCCCAGCACGGGGGGTAATTACGCTCTTTCCTGCGACGGGGTGGAATTGGAATTTCTCGGCGTGGATCGGTTCGAACGGACGTATACGGAGCGGCGGGATGCGGATGCAGAGGATGCGTTCTGTGCGAAGATGCGGATGCTTGGGGCGCGGCGGTGGGAATGTGAAGTGGATTGGGAGTTGAGTGTGATGGATTTGGATTGTGATGTGGTGGTTGCTGGGTGGCCGGCGAGTGGAGGGGTTTGGGTGTTGAAGATGGATGGGAGGAGGGCGAGAAGGGAGGGCGTGGGTTGTAAGGTTCGGAATGCGCTTAGTATGGAGGAGAGATGTGCCGTTCTTGAGAGGTTGGGAGGAGTGTTTTATCAGGAGCCGAGGGATTGTAAGGATTTAGAGTGGTGATGGGTTTATGATGTGGTTGGTGAGGGTATACTTGATTATGGTCATGATAGGGGTACACTGATGCCTGGGGTCGTGAGTGAAAAGGGACTGATGGCGCGCAATTAACCGAAGACAACCAATATAAATCCCAGAGTAGGAGGGCATTGCACGAGTATATACTGTCTGAAACGGGGCATGGCTTCTGAACTACTAATTCACGCAATTAAGGCACTTTGGTTTGGAAGAGAATATGAATTGGGGAGGTCATGGAATTTATACTATGAGATAGCACGATAAAGGCTACACAAAAAGGAATCTCGGAGACATCACAGGGAACGTAGCACACCAGCAAGTAAGACAGGAAATATAGTTCCGTTATCGGGCGGGATCAGGTGACCGGCTTTGCTATCCGCTGGCCAAGTCCGCTACCGCACCAAGTTTGCGAGTCGTAACTTTCCCCAGTTAACCACAATTTGGCGAATCCTCAACCACTTCTGACTCTCCTGGTTGAAACCCCGGCGGATCATGAGGATTCCGTCGAATATCACCTGGTTCGACGAGAATGACTACATTGGTCTAGAACTTCTTTTTCCTGCGGGGTCCACCTGGAAGCTCGAGAGAAAGTTCAAAGAGAGTGAAGACCTGTACAGCCAGCAAGAGTATGATGATTATGAGCTCATATTACAGTCTCGAGCCGCATTTATCTGTTCCAAGATTGCAGGAAATGGTCCATCAACAGCAGTGATAAAAGTCCACATGCAGTATGTACGTCCGCAGCGCCGTGTTAAAAAACAGGGTTGAAGTAACCACAACTGCAGAGCACCTTGGTGGGGAACTGCCGGCAACACACCATCAATCAGGGCTGAACAGGCCATTTCAGAAACTCCCTTCAGAGACAAAAGCAAGATTGAAGCATTATCCATCCTGACCGAAGCAGGATGCACCAGCACGCTGTTCCTGATCGACTCAATACAGCAAGAACAGACCAATGATAAGTAGGTATCTAGGGGCTTTATATACTTTATTGTAATGGAGATGCTGCCAGGTGTGAGCATGTCTTTAATTTTTCACCTCATTGACCAGGAAGAGCGCAACGTTCTGAGGGAGGCTTTTAAGAAATCCTGGCAGTAATTTACCTTAGCCATCTTTTAAGGACTGATTGATCTCATGCTATCTTTCAACAGGGAATGTATATTATGTAAGATGGAAAATTATGACAGGGGATCTCAGAATCTGCTTTAGAATAAGGCAAGATATAAATGATCAGTTAATTTCTTTCTCTATATGTAATGTCTTATAATTATCACAATAACTCTGCTTAATCTAGGCAACATTACTAAGTGACAGATCTTCTAGCTACTTGATTGATTTCGAATATTTTGAGCAGTGAGAGGAAAAGAACATAATCTGGCAGGATATCAAATGTGACGGCGGCGGACTCATTTGTCACGTGACGCTTATGTCATGCTGTTTGTCCTGTTTGCCTTGATATCGCCAGTGTTGTATGAGACGAGGCCCACAACACTTCGTGTTTCTGTTTTTTCCCTTCACATTTGAAGTTCTAGAGTAGTTAGCACCAATACAACCTTATATTATGTTGAACGGCCGTCTCGTAACTTCAAACGTCATTATTACCTCTTTTCTATCTGTTGTACGCGGCTAGCCCTGCCAAGCCGCTGACAGCCGTCACCTCGCGTTCTTGGCAACGCTTAAACGGCCAAAAGACCCACCCTGAACCCCGGAAACATGAATGAATTGACCACTGCCAACATGGCCCGCGACGCCACCCTGAACCCTGAGCCTAGGGACACCTGACGGCTGTCTGCCATGTTGCCTGACAAACCTGATTGGGAAGGAGAGATCAGCCGCAAGCAGTTTTATAAACTGTACAAAGATGACCCTGAATGAATCTTTGATGTTCTTCTCAAGATTTTCAGATGCTTGGAGGCGGAAAGAGACGGCCTATCCAATAATAGGGATCGACTGAGCCAGGAAAATGGTTAGTTAACCAGAGAATGTGATATCTTTGCTGTACAGGCTCTCTGCTAGTTAAATCAGTAGCAAGAAACCTAGTTCTAGCAGTCTAAACATCTGGTGAAGATCCCTGACTCTCCTCTCTTTAGTGACAGGAAGGATATTGCTTTTGAAGACTGGATACTGGTAATATATAAGAAGCTGGTAGTTAATATAGACTAGTTTACCATCCTAGAAGTATGTAAGACTTATATTATTAATAAATATTAGAATAATATAAGAATATATTTGACTTTATGACTTTGCCCGGACACGGCCAATCCATTTCTTAACTTAATTAATATATTAAAATACCTGAAAAATATTTATACTAATTTGAATAAGACCTGTAATATCTAAAACCAATATTAAGAATTATAGATAAAAGCTAAAGAGAAGTTCTATATATTTATCTTTATTTTCTAATACCTGGCTGTGAAGTGTTACGGACCCCTGCTAGCTAAACAACTAGTGAGGCGGACTTGTCTGGCAGAAGGCCACATCCGGAAAGACAAGGACTCTTATCAAGTAGAATCCTGATCTGAGTAACCGACGCCTGAAACGGTTACACAGCACGTGACCATGATGGACATATCACTGATATGCTATAATATATCAGCGCTATAATAAGATATAACAGTGATATAAGATAATATATTAATAGTATAATATATTATAATAATGCCATGATAAAGGATAGGATATAAGTGTTACAGACCCCTGCTAGCCAGGTTACTAGCGGAGCGGACTGGTCAGGCAGAAAAGTGACGACAAGGCAGGACTCGGACAACCAGCAACTCTTATCGAGTAGAATCCCGGTCTGAGTAACGTCCGGAGCGACGCTGTGTCACGTGATTATCTACCATCAGATCTACCATCAAAGGTATACACAAGGTATACTGGAATCCAGGATCGTGATTGGATCGACCCTTGATCTACCCTGAATGGTATATGATATGGTATATAGAGAATAGGATATAAGAACACTCTTTCATGTACTTAGCTAGTTCTGTTCTTCGTGCTCAATAACACTGTCTTTAAGTAACCATACGTTTGGTAAAGCTTAGCGACAACACTCGTCCGCACTTACTTACGGATAGCTGCGCGGCACTATCTGGCCTTACTTCTCTTCTTCTGTTCAAGACCAGTTGCCCTTAGATAGTCATCAGCCTGACTTACCTCGATTCAGTTCGAAGGTACGTATTGGAACGGAAGCTAAGCTAACAGGAACAGGGAGAAGCGATCCTAGGGTTTGACAATAAGAACACTCTTTCATATACTTAGCTAGTTCTATTCTTCGTGCTCAATAACACTGTCTTTAAGTAACCATATATTTAGAAAGCTTAGTAATAATACTCGTCTGTACTTACTTATGGATAGCTGCACAGCACTATCTGGCCTTACTTCTCTTCCTTGGTTCAAGACCAGTTATCCTTAGATAGTCATCAGTCTGACTCTACCTTGACCAAGCTCGACGGTACGTATTCGAACGGAAGCTAAGCTAACCGGAACAAGGGAAGCGATCCTAGGGTTTGACATGAAGGTAGAGATTAATAAGAGACTCTGGAAAAAAGTTTTTTATTATAAACTTTTTATTAATCTGTAAAAAATAATACTTTATAATCTTATCAATAAATATTATATTTTTAATAAATATACTAACAAGTGCGCGAATTCAGCTAATTTAGTTAATAAATTCTTAAAGAAATATTTCAAAGATAGCTTTCTACTAGTTAAAGATTATAATAAAGTCTGTGGTTTCTATATTATGATCTTAATATCTAGCTTTAAAAACACATATTTAAAACCCTTTATTTGAGTCTCCAGCCTGGAGCCAGAGACTAAAGAGATCCTGATAAAAGAAGGAAGATACTTTTACTGCAAGGAACAAGGTTATTTAAGCTGGACATGCCCTAAGAAGAGAACTGTACAGGTTAAGATGCTTAGGGCCTTTACTGAGGAATAGAAGCCGGTAAAAGATAATGTCTAGTAGAAGTCTTTATTCTGGGCGAGTTAGAAGCTCAAGTAAGTATAATAGATTTATAAGATCTGTTAAAAAGTGATAATAATAACTTTATAATTATTACTCTATTTTTAAAGAATGGTATTACTATTTTTATCTGTATGCTTGCTGATTCTGAAATAAATATTTACTTAATAATTAATATTTAATTTATGATTAATATTACTTAATACTTTAAAATCCTGATATTATCTTTGAAGAAGGCAACCCCTGTTATAGACTTTGATAGAAAACAAGTTACTAACTTGATATATATAATCTGACTGAGTCTTACTATAAATAATTATTAATTCCTGAATATTCTCTTTTTTATACTGGATCTAGGAAGACATGATATTATTCTTAGAAAGATATGGTTTATTAAGTATAGTATCTTACTAGACTATCAGAATAATTAACTAATATACCTTAGTTAGTTGATATTAGAGAATAAAATTAAAGTCAGATTACTTATTAATATTTTCTGTATTATTCTAGAATAATCTTTAATAAATCATAGATATTAGTAGAATACAGCCCGGAGAGACTATAAGATATAGCTGGAAGATAATAGATTAAAGCTAATAATGATTTTCTTCTGTATTAAATAGGATGTTGTTACGGACCCCTGCTAGCTGAACGAACTAGTAAGGCGGACTCGTTGGGCAGAAGGCCACGCCCGGAAAAGCAAGGACTCTTATCAAGTAGAATCCCGATCTGAGTGACCTACAACCAGGACGGTTATACAACACGTGACCACGACGGACATGTCACTGACACGCTATAATATAGCAGTGCTATGACAGGATATGGCAGCGCTATAACAGGACATGGTAGTGCTATGACATAACATATCAGTGACATGACATATTATGGCGATGCCATGATGAAGGATAGGATATAAGGACACTCTTTCATATACTTAGCTAGTTCTGTTCTTCATGCTTAATCTAATTATCTTTAAGTAACCATATATTTTGGTAAAGCTTAGTAACAATACTTATCCGTACTTACTTACGGATAGCTGCGCGGCACTATCTGGCCTTACTTCTCTTCTCTTATTCAGATCAAGTCATCTTTAGATAGTCATCAACCTGACTTATCTTGATTCAGTTCACAGGTACGTATCGGAACGGGAGCTAAGCTAACAGGAACAGGAAGAAGCAATCCTAGGGTTTAATATATTGAGCACCAGTCAGTACGAGTGTTACTCAGTGATAACTAATCATTATATTAACTACATCAAACACATCGCGTGCGCCTCAGCAGGGCCTGATAATCAAGAAACTAATAGATATGGTTGATCAGTTACAAGAAAGCGTCACTGCCTTAAAACAATAGAACCAGTTACTCGAAGGTCGCTTATCAGTCAAATCTGTTAAGATCCAACCACCCGAGCCATTCGACGGTAAATGAGCAAGGCTTAGAGCTTTCTTGACTCAGTTAGATCTGTACCTTAACATAAACAAGAAAAAGCTCAAGAATAAGAAGGACAAGATCTTTTTCGCGTCTACTTATCTGATTAAAGCAGTATTTGATTAGTTTAAGCCATATATCCGCGAGCGATAAGAAAAGTTGGTAAGTAACTAGAATAATAATACAAAGTAACTTTTTGCCAGTTACGCTAGATTTAAACAGTATCTTAAACAGATATTTAAAGATATTAATACAGCACAGAACACTGAGTAAAAGTTATAGTAACTTAAGTAGACTGGATTGGTATCCATATATACTTCAGAGTTTCAGCAAGTTATCAGTTACTTGGACTGGGATGATAACGCCTACATCTCATGATTTAAAGAAGGACTCAAGATAGAGATCCAAGAAAAAATCATTTAGTAAGAACAACCGGACATGTTGATCAAGATAATCAAAACAGTAGTTAAGATTAATAATAAGTTGTACAACTTTAATATAAAACAATGAGAGGGTCAATAAATTAGTAGGTCTATATCTCGATGTAATAACCAGCCAGGTTACTGAGCTAATAATGGAAGATCAGTACAACCTAGAAGCTTGGGATACGAAGATCCCTATAGACCAAAACCAATGGAGCTAGATGTAGCACAGCATCAGACTTAACAAACTCAAGTATCCAAGGAGGAACTTGAACAGT